TACTGAACAGCAGGACGGCTGGCTGTCCACAGTGCCTGTGTTCAAAGTAGCACCAACAGAAATAAAGTCTGGTTCCTTGTTTCTGGTGCCCTTTTCTCTCGTGCTTTGCTTGGCTTCCTCGAGCTCGCGGGTGTGGGCCCTAGTGAGAGCCGCCGTGGCGTTCCAGCAGCTCGGCGTTCTGGCACCACTCCGACGGGCGCGGGGCCCCATGCAGGGGAGGCGGGGAGGAACCTGAGCTCACCTCACCCACTACTGCAGCCCGGCTCCGGACCAGAGCTGCTGGGGACCTTTGGCTGGCACAGAGCTGCCGGCTGCTGGCTCCCCTCTGGCCCTGGAGCTTGTCATCTTCGTGGGTGGGAATTCCCCAGCCCATGTTTGGCTCCCAGCCTGCCTTCTAGCACTTCCTGTTGAAACTTCTCAGGTGTCCCGTGGTGATTATAAAGATTTGATGCTAAACCCCAGCTGCTCACTCTTCATTGTCCCTTCACCTGTTTGAACGAAACTGTCCCACTGGTTCTTCGTATCCCCGAGGACCAGTTCCCTGACCCTGACCCACACCTGGACCCCCCGGACCATTGCGGGTGCTCCCCAGGCGGACTGCGTGGTAGTCAGGGGCCAGGCTTCTTTCCAGATTCCACCTGCGCCGTTCCTGATGCTGTGACCACGGGCCATCAGCTTCTCTTCACCTCACTTTTTCTGTCAGCTGGGGAGAATGGTACCCGGTTTCATGGACCTGATAATGGAAGTAGCCGGAGCAGCCTCTGGCGCGAAGTGTGTCACGTTGCTGGTTAACCTCCCGGCCCCCTGGCACCGCCTTCCCTGCCTGGGTCCTGCTGGTGCAGTTAAAGCCTTTCCCTCCAGAGCTGTCAGGCCCCTTCGTCCAACCGTGTCCTGTGTGTCCAATCCAGCCCATTGTGTTGATCACTGAATAAAGTTTTGTGGGATCACAACCATGCCCGTCAGTTCATACACCATACACAGCTGCTGTTGGCACGACGACAGGGTCGAGAGTATGAAACACAGGCCATATGGCAAATCCCAAGTGGCCGTTAGAAAGTTTGCCAACCCCTGAAACAGACCAGTGGAACGAAATAGAACCCAGAAGGAGGCCCACAGGTGGTCAACAAACTTACTGAGGCAATTAAACGAGAAAAGTGTTTTCAACAAATGTAGGAACAAGTGGGTGTTTGAACGGGAGGATGTGACCTTGGCTCCTACTTTGTACTGTGCACTAAAAGATCCAAGACGGACCCTCGATCTAAACACAGAAAACAAAACCATCTTCACAACTGGGGGATGGGCAAAGGTTTCCTAGAGCACAAAGCACAGGCCATAAAAGAGAGAAAACGGGCTTCCGTCAAAAAGACAGACGCCATTAAAAGAACAGGACCTAGACCGCCAGGAGGCAAATCTGGGTTCTGACCACAGCTCATCCTGACTGTGGGAAAACCCATCGGAAATAACATGAAAAACCCAATCTAACAAAGGGGCAAGAGACCTGAACAGACATTAACAGAGGCAATACGAGGCCAAGAAACAGTACATGTTCAGGGTCCCTACCAAGTTCATTGCTGTCTGATCATTCTGACTCGGTAGCCCTATAGAACAGGGTGGAAATGCCCCTAGGGTTTCCCAAGCTGTAATCTTTACAGAAGCGGACTGCCACATCTTTATCCTGTCAGAGCAACTGGTGGGTTCAAACCACTGACCTCTCTGTTCGCAGCTGAGCACTAAACCACTGCGCCAACAAGACTCCTTTCAACATCATTAGGGAATGCAGATTAAAAGTACAGAGATGACATTTCCCATCTTTCAATATCACTGAAA